TGGGCACGATGCGTGCCGGCGGCACGGCTGCGAAGCGCGGCTCATTGGCCACCCGGACGATCTCAGCGCGCTCGCTGTCGCTCAGGGCATGGCTGGGCAGCGGGCGCACCGCGTGAGGCCTGCGATCACCCGCTGTGAGGCCTTCTTGCGCCTTCCAGCGCTGCAGGGTGCGAAGGTCGATGCCGACGACCTCGCAAGCCTGGTGCAGCCGTGCGCCTGCGGCATGCGCAACACCGATTTCTTGGGACAGGCATTGGCGATCCTCGAGGCCGATCATTCGTCCTCTCCCCTGCTGAAGATCGCCTGCACTTTTTTTGACAGCACCAGCAGCGCTGCCGTCTCCGCCAGGGCGCGGTCCTTGCGCAGCAACTCGCGCTCGAGTTCCTTGATGCGCTTGCGGTCGGCCCGCGTGGCCTGCGGGCTGGCTCGCAGTTCCTCGGGCGCGGCCAGCGCCGTCGTGGCACTTGCGCGCCACTTCGCCAGATCCTGTGGGTACACACCGTGCGAGCGACACCACGCGCTCAATTCGGCCTCGTTCATCGCCGCCGTGGTCACCACCGCCTCAAGCCGGCCGGCCGCGGTCCAGGCCCGCCCTCGGGCGGGCCTGGACCGCGCCTGCTCGCGCCAGCGCTCCAAGGTGCCTGCAGCGATCCCAATCTCCCGCGCAACCACGTCGATCGCTGCGCTCTCCGGCGGCAGCAACCGCGCTACCGCTCTGTCTTTGAATGTCTGTCCGTATCGAGCCAAGTTTGTCCTTCATCGCCGCCCCGGGGTTGATCTATGGAGGCGACAACTATTCTGACGCGGGGGGGCTCGATCTGCCTTCCGGTATCGAGCGGTCGGTGCACCAGAACCGCCTGCTCAAGATCGCCCGTGAGGGTGGCCAGATGACGCCCGCCGACTTAGCCAAGTTCGAGCCGCAACGGCGCTACGCCACCCTCGTGGCGCTGGCCATCGAGGGCATGGCCACGGTCACCGACGAAATCATCGACTTGCACGACCGCATCCTGGGCAAGCTGTTCAACGCCGCCAAGAACAAGCATCAGCAGCAGTTTCAGGCATCCGGCAAGGCGATCAACGCCAAGGTGCGGCTGTTCGGGCGCATCGGCCAGGCGCTGATCGAGGCCAAGCAAGCTGGCCGCGATCCGTTCGCCGCCATCGAGGCCGTCATGTCCTGGGATGCCTTCGCCGAAAGCGTCACCGAGGCGCAGAAGCTCGCTCAGCCCGATGACTTCGATTTCCTGCACCGCATCGGCGAAAGTTACGCCACCTTGCGCCGCTACGCGCCGGAATTCCTTGCCGTGCTCAAGCTGCGGGCCGCACCCGCCGCCAAGAACGTGCTCGATGCCATCGAGGTACTGCGTGGCATGAACACCGACAACGCCCGCAAAGTGCCTGCCGATGCCCCGACCGACTTCATCAAGCCGCGCTGGCAGAAGCTGGTGATGACTGACGCGGGTATCGACCGGCGCTACTACGAGCTGTGCGCGCTGTCCGAGCTGAAGAACTCGCTGCGCTCGGGCGACATCTGGGTGCAGGGATCGCGCCAGTTCAAGGACTTCGAGGACTACCTGGTGCCGCCCGCGAAGTTCGCCAGCCTCAAGCAGTCCAGCGCATTGCCGCTGGCCGTGGCCACTGACGGCGACCAGTACCTGCACGACCGCCTGACGCTGCTTGAAGCGCAGCTTGCCACGGTCAACCGCATGGCAGCGGCCAACGACCTGCCGAATGCGATCATCACCGAGTCGGGCCTGAAGATCACGCCGCTGGATGCGGCGGTACCCGACACCGCGCAGGCGCTGATCGACCAGACAGCCATGATCCTGCCACACGTCAAGATCACCGAACTGCTGCTCGAAGTCGATGAGTGGACGGGCTTCACCCGCCACTTCACGCACCTGAAATCGGGCGATCTGGCCAAGGACAAAAATCTGCTGTTGACCACCATCCTGGCCGACGCGATCAACCTGGGCCTGACCAAGATGGCCGAGTCCTGCCCCGGCACGACCTACGCCAAGCTCGCCTGGCTACAAGCCTGGCATACCCGCGACGAAACCTATTCGACAGCGCTGGCCGAGTTGGTGAACGCCCAATTCCGGCATCCCTTCGCCGAACACTGGGGCGACGGCACCACGTCATCGTCGGACGGCCAGAACTTCCGAACCGGGAGCAAGGCCGAGAGTACCGGTCACATCAACCCGAAATATGGCAGCAGCCCTGGGCGAACCTTCTACACCCATATATCCGACCAGTACGCGCCGTTCCACACCAAGGTGGTCAATGTCGGCGTGCGCGACTCGACCTATGTACTTGACGGCCTGCTGTACCACGAGTCCGACCTGCGCATCGAGGAACACTACACCGACACGGCAGG